TTTATTTTTATGTGGAGTGTGTGTTTGTGTGTGTGTGTGTGTGTGTGTGTGTGTAGGTGAGCATGGAGACCAGAAGAGGGTATTGGATTCCCTGGATCTGAAGTTTCAGGCAGCTGAAAGCCACCTGACATGGGTACTGGGAACCAAATTTCACCCCTCTGAAAGGGCTCTTAACCACTGAGCTATTTCTCCAGCCCCAAAGAATTATTCCCCGAGAGCTTGTGACTTCTGCTTTCTCTTGGACAACTCTGAAATGGAATTTTTAAAATTATGTCTACTTGTTGTATGTGTGTATGTTGGCCCACAGATGCCATAATATACACGTGGAGGCCAAGTGGCAGGGCTTGGTTCTCTCCTACCACGTGTTCCTGGGGATCAAATTCAGGTCACCGGGCTCAGTGATAAGCACCGCCTTACTGGTCCTTGTTACTGTTGGGATGTTATGGGTTTTGAGACAGAGTCTCTTGTAGCCTAAACTTCTGGCAGTGCTCCCGCTTCACCTCCTGAGTGCTGGGATTGTAAGCATAAGCCACCACACCTTGTAGCTGCAAGTTTTCCTGTGTCCCGCCTGGTCCCGTAGCCACTCAGACACAAATAAACATACAGAGGTTTATATTAATTATGGCCATAGCCTATGGCTCAAGTTTCTTGCTAGCTAGCTCTTATAACTAAACTCAGCCCATTTCTAGTCATCTCCGTGTTGCCACATGTTCCGTGGCTTTACCTGTGTGCCTTGCTTGCTGGATGGCGGAATGGCCTCTCCCTGTCTCTCCTTTGTCCTTTCCTGTCTATCTGCTTGTATTTCCCACCTGCCTCTAAGCTACCTTGCCATAGGCCAAATGGCTTTATTTATCAACCAATCAGAGCAACACATATTCACAGTATACAGAAAGACATCCCACAGCACTTCCACTTTTCTGTCTAATCAAAAAGGAAGGTTTTAACTTTAACATAGTAATTACATATAACAAAACAGTTATCAAGCAAGAATTACAGTTATAACATCTAGTCTATTTGTATTTGGTGAATTAAAAAAAATATACTTTCTATGCTATATTTGTGAGTCTAAGGTTTCATATCTAACTTATCTTTTATCATAACCAAGGAAAATTATAACTATCTAGTCTTCAATTACATCAAAGACTCCAGAAGGATATAATATTACCTAAGGAAACAGGAAATGCATTGTAAGCAACTTCTAAAATTCTGGAAATGACAGAGACAACTGCCTGCCTGGACAGTCATCCAAAGTTCCTCTGTAATGTTGGGGCGTCCATCTTCAGCCTATAGACCTAGAGTCTTTCAGTCGCTTCTCTCTGTGTCCTGCAAAATATCTGGCAGTCTCCTCTGTGAAGCAGGAACCTGAAGGACCATTTCGCCTTGTTTTAGCAAATTCAGTGGTCATTTTTCCATGGGTCCTGCATGTCCAGTCAATATAACATTATAAATAAAGCTGCCGGCTGGAGAGGTAGCTCAGAGTTTAAGAACACTGGCTGTTCTTCCAGAGGTCCTGAGTTCAATTCCCAGCACCCACATGGTGGCTGACAACCATCTGTAATGAGATCTGGCTCCCTCTTCTGGCCTGCAGGGATACATGCAAACAGAACACTGTATACATAATAAGTATATAAATCTTTAAGTTAAATAAAACAAACAAATAAATAAATAAAGCTGCATTGCCCTATGGCAGAGCAGGGTGGAGCCAGGCAGGAAAATCCAAGAGAGATAGAGGAAGAAGAAAGGCAGAGGCAGAGGAGATGCCATCCTGCCATCCAGAAAGCAGCATGTAATGGCATACAGGTAAAGCCACGGAACATGTGGCAACATATAGATGAATAGAAATGGACTGAATTTAGTTACAAGAGCTAGCTAGCAAGAAAATTGAGCCATAGGCCATGGCCATGCAATTCGTAATTGATATAAGCCTCCGTGTGTTTACTTGGGTCTCAGTGGCTGCAGGACCAGGAGGGACACAGGAAAACTTCCAGCTACAACTCCTGGCTCAACCGTTTTTGTTTTATTTATTTATCTGAGACAAAGTCTTACATCGAAATCCAGGCTATCCTCAAAGTTATAGTGATCCTCCTGCCTCAGCCTCTCAAGTACATTCAGGCATGAGCCATCACACCCACCTGAACAGTTATTTTTATAGAAGAAAGAGAATATTCATACTGACAATGGAGAGAAAGAGGGAGAAAAGGAGACATGGAGAACTCACATCAGAGGGCTGAGAGCTTAGAGGAGAAGGTAGAGGACCAGATGGAGAACATGACACCCCCTGGGCCCTTGGAGATGGTGGAGGAGCAGATGGAGAGTGTGACACTCCTGGGAACTTGGGGACAGTGGTCTTGTAGTTACTGGGGAGGAAGGAGATGCCTCGATCCCAGGGCACCATACTTCTCTTCCAGTTCTCTTTCCCATGGCTGTTGGTTAGCTCTTTTTCCTCCTGAGTTCCATCCTGCCAGATGTGGGCCATTGAAGTGACTCTTCACAGCCTCAGTAGCCGGTTCTTGATTGGAAGGAAAGGGGTGGGAGGGAGGGAAGGAACAATTTTCCAGGAACATTGGAGAGGAAAAGTCAGGAATTCTGAAATGTGGCTGAGGGTGGAGAGAGATCAACCTCTTTAAAAATAATGCAGTGAGAGTCAGAGGCTGGGCACAAGACATGGAGACACATGGTGACCAAATGTGCCATCCTGTAGGCTGAGTGTGGTGGCATGTGCCTTTAATCCAGTACTTGGGAGCTAGTAGCAGGAAGATCTGTGAGTTTGAGGTCAGTCTAGCAAAACAAACAAAACAAAACAAAACATCCTCCGATGTGTACTCAAAGAAGCACCCAGAATGCACTAGAGACAATTTTATGGGCAGAAGGTAGTATTTGAACATGAAAGTACCAAAGTGGAGATGCTGTGCTCACTGAGCCACTGGAACAAATCTTGCCAAGAGGAAGCTTCCCCTAAGGCGTGGGTATCCCAGATCTGGGAGCTGAGCATGTCATGTACAATGGTCTTCAGCACCTCGGACAGAACCTGATCTCCCACCCAAGGCATCCTCCAAACTGCTTAGCCTCAGACATGTACATGAACCATGTCAGGCTCATAAGCCCAAATGGGGAACTGTTGAGATGGGGTCACTGGCTACACACCAACCAGTGTAGCTCCCAGAGAGAAGCATCTCAAAGACTCTGGGGTTCTCTGTGGCCCTGGATTATTCGATTTCTGTTCCTATGTAGGATGGGGATCACTAAGTGCCCGAAAAGGCTCATTTATTGATTCCAGAAATACAACCCTCCATTCTGACCCTTAAGAGATCTCCACTCTCAGGAGTGGGTAGCACAGACTTCCCCTTCTTCAGTGGTGAAGGGACTAGAGAAACATTCCAGCTCCCTGAGAATAGGTACTCTGGTGTCCAAAGGACACCCTGGTAGGCTGCAGGTGACCAGCCCAAGCCCAGACTCTATCCCTTCCAGGGCATCCAGTGTTTGGTCAGCAAGTCAGGATAGGGAAGCCCTGGAGGGAAGGCTAGAAGCTGCCACCGTGGAATGGGCTGAAGGTGGAGAGGTGTAGGAGCTGCCTTTGACATTGAGAAAAAGAAGCAAGCATTAATGAAATGCCCACATTAATGTAAGACACATTGCAACCCCGAGCTGTGGGCAGGAAGGGGTGACGCCATTTATAGACTCCACAGTTCTAGTAAGAGGACCCCAGATCAATGTGGCTGAAGTAGAAAAGAGGGTAATTTGGGCCCTGCCCTGAAAAATGCTGTGCAACACCAGGCATGGCTGGATCCAGGGTCCCAAATGCTGTCGGTGGGAGTGCATGGCTCTCTCTCCATCTCAGGGATATACTTTCACTTTACAAGTCTCTCCACAATAGAAGAAAATGGCTTCCAGAGAGTCTTGGATCCCACATATCCCAGAGGAAGCCAGAGAACATCTATTGCTGTGGTGTGGGTGAGGCCACACACTTAAACCACAGGAGCTAGAATGGGGGGGGGGGCTTGGAGGAAAAGCAAAGTGTAGTTTTCTTTCTTAATGATTTATTTGTATTTTATGTGTATGAGTGTTTTGCCTGCATGTATATCTATGTACCACGTGCATGCCTGGTACCTGCAGAGTTCAGAAAAGGGTTTCAGACCCTGGAGCTGGGTTATGGATGGTTGTGAGCCATAATGTGGGTGCAGGGAATCAAACCCAAGTCTTCTGTAGGAAGTAGAGGGTCTTCTGTCATATAAAGTGAGGGGGCTGTATTTGGTGGTCTCCAGTCCTAGGATATGTTAGTTTAGTTTAGTCAACTAAACTAACTTCACACAACCTCCAACCATTTGGGAAAAGAGTCTCGGTGAGGAACTGTCTAGACCAGGTTGCCTGTGGCATGTCTGTAAGGGACAGTCTCCCCCCCCCACCCCTGCAAGATAGGGTTTCTCTGTGTATCCCTGGCTGTGCTGGAACTTGTTCTGTAGACCAGGCTGGCCTCGAACTCACAGAGATCTGCCTACCTCTGCCTCCAAGTGCTGGGATTAAAAGTATGCGCCACCACTGCCCAGCTGAAGGGGACACTCTTGACCACCTTAACTGATGTGGTAGGACGGAGCTTGAAAGTAGGCAGCACCATTCCCTGGTGTGATGAGCTGGGTTTTATACGCGTGGAGAAAGGGAGCCGAGCACGAGGCATGCATGCCTCCGTTTCTCTCTGCTCTTGGTTTTCCTTCCTTGACTTCCCTGTAACAGTGGACTGCAAACTGGAATTGTCAGCTAGGACAAGTCCTTCTCCGCAGTTATCACAGCAACAGGAAGTGAAACTAGGACTCAGGGCCTCCAGCATGCTGGGCAGACACTACCACCTCAGCTAGATCCTCAGCCCCTAATACTCTTTATAATTAAAAATGTTACGGGTGCCGGGCGACAGTGGAACACGCCTTTAATCCCAGCATTCAGGAGGCAGAGGCAGGTGGATCTCTATGAGTTCGAGGCCAACCTGGTCTACAGAGCGAGATCCAGGACAGGCACCAAAATTACACCGAGAAACCCTGTCTCGAAAAACAAAACAAACAAACAAAAAAAAATTCTATGGGTACAGATGATTGTAGCAGCTGCCTCCCACACCCCCTTGCAGAGTCTAAGCCCGATAAATTTACCAACATATTCAAAACAAGTCATGTGATCTAATTTTGTGTATGCCTCCACCATGTGCCTACTCACATCTCTCCTCAGTCTCACAAGACATCCTTGGAACATCCCCTATAAAATGTTGCTAGTGTATCTCCAGCAGGTGGCGCTGAAGGCCTTTTCCTTACCTGGGTGACCCGGCCTGTTCCTGGCCGAATAAAATTAAACAGATGTTCCAGTTTCCTGGTTATACAGATGTGAGATCCCGCCCCAGCCCATGGCAAAGTGGTCAAAGGCTGTCTTTAGTTTCCCTGAGTTTCTTTGGGGGCCTACATTAAGAGGTCCATTTGGCTCACAGACAGGGTCTGCAGCAAGCCAGCTTACTGTCCAGGAAGGGAGGGATCCAATGGGAGGCCTCTGAACTCCCCTTCCTTTGGGGGAGGTCCCATGTGTCAGGACTCCAAGGGCAGGCAAGCTCCAGTGGTGAGATTATGGTTTGGGGGGTTAGGAAACTCATAGATGGGACAAGGGGCCACAGGAAGCTTGTGAATGGGGTGTGGTCTCAGAGGAGGGGCAGTCTCAGCCTGGACTCTGGAATCTACCCATCATTGACACCTGCTGGCCATTCCTTCCTGCATTCCACAGTGGCCCTGAAGGGTGGGGGCATCTGTAAAGCTCCAGAGATGTCTGTCATGTGCCTCATCAGCACCTCAGTAACTTGATCTCCACTCTGAGCTTTTCTGAGGATGCTGGGAGAGGGAGAAAGGATGATGTGGTAGCTCAGCACTCCTGGGAAAAGCAGGTTTGGTGCTGTGGGCCAATCGGCTCCTCTCCTCAGCCCCTGGCTTTGGCGGTAGACTGGAGAGAGCATCCCCTGGAATAAAAGACATCCTAGCTTAGATCTGAGCTCTGCTGATGCTACCTGACACTTTCAAAGGGCCTCACTTAGCTGGGCCTCAGTCTCCCCAGCTTGTTAGGTGGGTGCAGCTGACCTGCCCAGATGGGTTCACAAGGTCATGGTGAGAGTTAGATAAGAAAATATACTTTCTTTTTTGGGAGGGAGAGGTCTCCTGCATACCAGGCTGGTCTCAAACTCACTGTGTAGCTGAGAATAACCTTGAACTTCTGATTCTCCTGTTTCCACCCACCAAGTCGTGGATTACAGGTGTGCACCACCATACCTGGTTTATGTAGTGTTGGGACTTCAAGGGCTTCATGAGTGCCGGGCAAGCACTCTACCAACCAAATCCCAAGCCCGAGATAATGTACTTTGTTTTGTCTTTTTCGAGACAGGGTTTCTCTGTGTAACCCTGCTGTCTTGAACTCACTCTGTAGCCCAGGCTGGCCTCGAACTCACAGAGATCCACCTGCCTCTGCCTCCTGAGTGCTAGGATTAAAGGTGTGTGCCACCACTGCAGAGCTGACAATGTACTTTTTTTTTTTTTTTTTTTTTTTTTTTTTTTTCGAGACAGAGTTTCTCTGAGTAGTCCTGGCTGTCTTGAACTCACTCTGTAGCCCAGGCTGGCCTCGAACTCACAGAGATCCGCCTGCCTCTGCCTCCCGAGTGCTGGGATTAAAGGTGTGCGCCACCACCGCCCGGCGACAATGTACTTTTTAAACAAGAAAAGCATAACTTTCATTTAGGCTGCTTCCCATCTCTCGCCATGGCTGTAGACATGACTTGTTTGGAAAACTTAACACTGAAATTTTTATTGTTGTTTTCATCTTTCTAGTGATGGAGATGGAATCTAGGGCCTTGTGTGTGCTAGGTAAGTGCTCTCCCATGGAACCACGCCCAGACCGCAACCTTTTTAGTAACATTTCAAAATCAGATTTTTCCATAAAACTGTTTTAAGTGTTCCATAATATCTTTGTTCTACTTCTGTATCTGGCAAAATGGGACCATTCCCCTAAGAGACACTCCTCCAGCACTCTGAGCTACTCACGTCAGGCCCCCATTGTCCGGATGTGCCTGCCATACCCCCAGCTGACTGCCAGGCGCTATGTGTCACTGGCTGGCATTACTCACTGCAGGAGCCCTATAGGTATGTTTGAGCTGCAATCCCACAGAGTTAGGAGTGTGGTTCCCGGACCATCCTGCTCTGTTCTCTCTGGGCTTCTGTTTGCTTGCTTGCTCCCACCCTCCTGGTGCTGAGAGCCAACTCAGGAGACTGGAGCACTTGAGGAGCTGCTGGGCCCTGACTTCTTGCAGAAGAGCTGTTATCCATTCTCACAATAAGCTGCATGGTCTGTTCTGGGAAGCAAATGCCACTAGGCCCGTGGTTTGACCAGGCTTCCCAAAGCCCCGAGTCATTCTCTTCTCTAGCTGAGTAAAGCTAGCTAGCAGGGACAGGATACTGACCCTTCCTAGCCTTTCCTCTCACCCCTTTCCACGCTGTTTTCCCTTACCCTGCCTATCCTGACCCTGTCTCCTGGGTGGCAGGGCAGGAGCCCTACTGGGTGGCAAGGCAGGAGCCCTACTGGAGGGGCCCTGGGAGGGTGCTCCACTGCTCATTGTGTCCTGGGAGCTCTTCTAAGTGGGGTCTGGGCTCTGATTGCAGGAGAAAGAACCTGGAAGATGCAGTCCAGCTTTTCTTCTTTGTGATGTATCCATTGCCCAGAAGAACTTGGGTCCTAATGGGATCGCTCCTGGGAGCTGCTGCACCATGTGTCCTTGCCACCAATCCCTCCATTAGCTGGACACCCTTTAGGGAGCTTCTCCTGGGCTACACATGTAGCTGGCCTGCTCAAGGTGTCTGTTTCTATCCCCAGGACTGCCAAAGAGGGGTGGGGAGGTGGGGGTTCTTGATGTTGACTACCTAGGGAATGAGGCTGCTGGCTGGGAAGCACCTCCTTTGCCTGGATGTGGCTGCTCTGGCACATGACAGTCTCTCAGACCGACCTCTTCCTGGCTAAGCCACAGCCTTCTTCTGGGAATACCACCAGAGTTTAGAGCTGCGCAGTGGAGTGTCTGGGCTGTGACCTCAGGCCACCCTTCTGAGCTGCTTTGTGCTGTCAGGTGCTTTGTGTGTGTGTGGGTCGGGGTGTGTGTGTGTGTGTGTGTGTGTGTGTGTGTGTGCTGAGACAAAGGTGGAAGAAAATTGCAAGGATTTAAAAAAAAAAAATCAGTTCCCCCAAAATGGCTGACAGCCGTATTTCCTGAATTCAGATTCCTGCTTCATCCCTGGCTGCTGTGTGCCCTTGGGGACAAATCTAGGTGGTTGCGAGAACGGAATTAAATCATGTACAGGAAGCAATGGACTTTCAAGCAAGGGCTCAGGCCAGTAAGTCACTGTGTGAGTGACAGAAAAAACTACAGGAACAAAAAGGTGATTGGGGTGGTGAACTTTCTGTTAGCGCAAGTGGTCCCTCCACCCCAACTCCTATAGGTAGATAGGGGTTTGTCTAGGCAGCTCTGATGTCCAGGGTCTAGGGCCATGGATTTGTGTCTTGCCTGACCGTGGCAGATTGGCTGGGAGCAGGAGGAGGGAGGGGAGGAGGAAGGGAGCACTCACTGAGGCTGGGCCAAGATGGCCGAAGCAGATCTTCTGATGGTGCCGGTTGCTGCCCTTGGCCAAAGACAGGCCCTCTTCATCCAGCTGCATAAACACGGCAGGGACAGAGCCTGCTTCACCGAAACCCATACAAGGCCTGGGGACTGCGCACCAGCTCGGATCACGGGGATGCAGGGGCTTCACCTCCTCCAAGGAAGGGGCAGGTTTAGGAGCGAAACCAGGGAGCTATTTCGAGAAGGTGTCAAAGGCCGGAACACTAAAATTAGAGTCTTGGTTCCTAAAAAGACATTGGCGCCAACCAAGGTCTGAGAAGGGGGCTCTTCAGTGCGGAATGTGACCCCAGGAAGCGCTCTGGCGATCCTGGGCAATGAGGTCAGCCTGCAGGACCAATGGGACCATCCACCGCCCTATGGTCACGTGGTAGTCACGGGGGACCTCTCCCGTGGCCAGTCCCGGGGCTGCTTCCAACCACTTCCCCTGTGCGCCAAGCCAGGAAAGGCGAGGGGGCAGAGCTGCCGGAGCAGGACTGACCTTCTGGGCTGCGCTTTTCCTTTTTTGACTGTCCTTTGCGCTTTCTGCTCCGTTCTGGGGACGGGAGTAGGAGGGGCGCGTGCTTGGAAGAGGCAGCCATCTTGGAACCTGGTGTGTTGGCCTGAGAGATGACCAAGAGGGGCCTGGGATCCCCAGCCTGACTGGCCTTGGTTTTCACCTCTGTCACACAAGGGTCCTTTGCTCATCTCCTCTCCATTCAGGCCCGTGGCACTCTGCCACCTCAGGGACCGTGATGAAGCCACGTTCCAGGGGGAGACACAAGAGCTGCCTGAAGCAGCTCTTCTCAGCCGCCCCAGGTCCAGAACCACGGGCAGTTCTGATTACCAGCCCACCTGTGACCAGGCCGTCCCCAGAGCTCCCCCTCAGCCCTCCTAAGTTGTCTCACCCAACTATATTACCTCCTCCTCAAGGACAGCTGCTCTTGCTGAGGTCATGGGTTCGGTTCCCAGTACCCGCATGGCAGTTGGTAACTATCTGTAGCTCCAGTTTCATCCAGTTCCAGGGATCTGGTATCCCCTGCTGCCTCTATGGCCGCTGAATACATATGGTGTGGACTTCCATACATGCAGGCAAAACACTTCATGCACATAAAACAAAAATAAGTTTATGTTTTTAAAGCTCAAGTTCCTTTTTTAAATTACAATAAATAGAAGCCAGCTCTCTGTGGCTGGCTGTCACCCTTCTAGACATAACTTTAGGTTGTCTTTGCTACATGCCTCAGGGCTTTTTACTGTACTGTTTTTTATTTTCTTACCACTGGTTTCTGGGTTTGGGTGGTTAACTGTGAGAGCCAACCTTCATCATCAACACAGTAACAAAACACCACCAACAAAAACTATTAGTCTTTTCTGTGTGGGGGTGGGGGGGTGGAGAGACAGGGTCTGTAAGCCATGCTTGAACTCACTCTGTATCTCAAGCTGGCCAACCACTGCTCCTCACACTCCTGAGTGCAGGCATCATGGGCTTGAGGCACCATACCTGGTGGTCTTTAGAGACGTAGAGACTCCTGGAGGGCAGGGACCTTTTGGGTCCCCTTCTTTCAAAAGGGTACAGAACTCACGTGGGTGTCGGTAGGTTTTTGCTGAGCTCAGCCCTGGGAGCAGGAATGAGCCCTTCCCTAGCGTCTCCCAGGGACCCTCGTCCCCAGGGACACTTTTTTCCCTAGCAGGGCTGGGAAACACACTCACTTCTGACTATCCCACTTCCCACTTCTCACACCCACTATCCACTGGGGTGTGTAGTGGATACAGGAACGCGCCAGGCTTGATGAGTGGTGCCTGCCTGGGCAAGGCATGGGAGAGTGGTGGTGCCTGTGTGGACACGTACCTGTCACCTGCACCGGGCAGTTTGCCGTTCTTTCCTTCCTGCCTGCCTGCCTGTGGCCGCAACTCTGGCTTTGGTCCAAGTACTTGCAGGCTCCTCTGGGTCCCACGTGGGCGGTGGGCTGAAGAATTCCAGGAACGTGTCACAGCTGCTGACAACACTTCACTCTGCCGGTGACCTGTCCATGTGACTTCCTCCAGAACTGTAGGAAGAGGAGTGTTGTGGGTGGGCAGCAGCACCCTGACTCAATATCTAAAGACTTCTGGGCTCCA